TGGAGAGCCAATATTAGTAGGGCTAGCGGCCTGGAGAGCCACGAGTTTGTCGCGTGATAATTTGAGTTAGATTGGCCTGGAGAGCCAATATGAGTAGAGCTGACGGCCTGGAGAGCCACGACTTTTTCGCGTAATTATTTGAGTTAGATTGGCCTGGAGAGCCAATATGAGTAGGGCTAGCGGCCTGGAGAGCCACGAGTTTGTTGCGTAATAATTAGAGTTATCTAGATTGGCCTGGAGAGCCAATGTGAGTAGAGCTAACGGCCTGGAGAGCCGCGAGTATGTCGCGTAATATTTTGAGTTAGATTGGCCTGGAGAACCAATGCTGCCTGGAGAGCCGCGAGCAGGGTGTTTTGTAACCAATACTTGTGTTGTACTGTAGTACGTCAAGGGCTCGGAGAGCCAAGGGAGCGTAACTCCCTTTTCGGCACGCGTGGTTGGGCAGCCATGGTTGTACACTGCGTTTTTTAGAATTAGGCCGGAAGTTGGTCTCGTAGTTTAAGAGTACTGACTTAATCCCTCTCTGCGTATTCTTACAGCCTGCAGATCGCTTAGAGCTGTTAGAACAGAAGGTCAAGGCTCTAGAAAGAGAAAAAGTCGTCGAGTCCTGCGAGAACGCCTTGGTCGCACTAAGGAGACACCTTAATAGGCCGGCGTCGCTGTTTGACCGTTACGAAGCTGTTGAGCTGTTGGAAACCCTGGTTTCCTGGTTCTCTGAAACCCTGTCATTTATGGGAAAAATTTCTTTCTCCCTTTTCTCGCTGTTCATCATCTGGGATTATCTTGTCGCGTCCTCCGTTGGCCCTGGGGGGGCCTTCTCAGTGCTCTAATTCCGGACCTAGTTCAGAGCCTGGGGCCAACAGAGGGTCGGGTTTCCGGGGTTACCTAGTCGCGCTCACCCTTGTTTGGTTTTGGGTAAATGGTTCCCCATTTGCTTCGAGACTTCACGTTGCTCAAAGGCTAATCCCCGAAGGGGCGATCCCCTTGAGGTGCATTACCGAGGAAACGCCACCCTTTGTTGGTCCATGGCGGAGGCATTGGCAGACGTCCCGGTCTCTCACCCTGATGATTTACTGAGTGCTTTATAAACTTGTTTTTTTGGTATTTTGTTCTATTTCGGTCCTGCTTTTTACTGCTTTGGACTTCGTTGGGCTTTGTTCCTTTGGTCACACGTCCCAGCGCCGATTTCACACCGATTATACAGGACATTTGAGTAGTGGATAGTGGAATTATTAGCCGGCATTATGCTTTAAGTTTTGAGTATTGGATGTGGGTTTTTGGGTTTGGATGTGGTTTTTGGGTATTGGATGTGGGTTTTTGAGTATTGGATGTGGGTTTTTGAGTATTGGATGTGTGTTTTTGAGTATTGGATGTGGGTTTTGAGTATTGGATGTGTGTTTTTGAGCATTGGGTATATGGGGTTGAGCATGGTAAGAATAAAGGTTGGCATATTACTACTGGATTAATTATTATGCACTATTACGACTGGAGTTTGGCTATATACCATCTCGTTGTATTGTCGGGGACACGGAGCGGATCTCGCCCCATAACTTAATCATACTGCGACGTGATAATGGCTTCAGTGAGGATATATTACTATTCTTACTGAATAAATTATCACCAAGCAGTATAAATTAAGTCAACACACATGACTCATTGCATAACGTCGTTTGGACCTTCGAAGTACGAATTTTTCCCCACCCACCCCTAGCCTAGGGTTAGGGTGCATCTTATTCCCTCTCCCCTGGTTTCACTGCACCTGTAACATTATGTCACTAGTATTAACTTTCACCTGCCCTCAGAGATAAAAAATGTTGTTAAAGGCATCATTTTTTGATTATACATTATTCAGATGTTTATTCCTCCGAACCCCCAGGAATTGAACAGTATTTCAAAACACCCAATTATTCCTGCCCTTCCCAAATTTCATTATAATGTATTCATGATACCTTGTGTGTATGATTTAACAAAAAAAGGTATGTTACAAAAAAATAAAAATAAAAATAAAAATAAAAATAAGAAA